GAGAATTAATTTCATCTAATTTCTCGTATGGAAAATTTATTAAAATGTTTTTGTCGGCTAACAGAATGTTAGTGAGGGCAAATCGAGATATTTATTGTATGAAAAATATTATGTAATCTAATTATGTAACTATGTATGTATATAAACTGTCATTGTAGTCCCGTCTTATGTATTTTTACTCAGAATAAAGCATTTTTTGATGAATGTAAGTAGAATCGAATTTTATTTTTATCGACATAACGTTGTTGTGTCGTAACTAAGTGTTGTTGCTATTAAAATATATAATTTTTAGCTGTTTAAAACCCGAAATATATTAGTTACTATATATCTTATTGACAGTTTATTTTACTACGACCCGACGTTTCGGATTCTGTTCTGAAGTAGATTATCGGTAGCGCGTAAGTTGACTTGATGTGATTTTTATTGTATACTACCTGTGTCAGCGACTTCGGCCGCGAAGAATAGATATTTTGGCCATCCAAATTTATTTTGTGAACCTCCTCATCTTTATATAAAAAAGCTGCTGCGCACGACGTCGGTCGAGTCCCGTCGTTCTTGCGAGTTGATATTAAAAGACGCGGACATTTTTTAGATCATTTAAAGACGGATCAAACATGAATAAAACTCCCCGCTGTTACTTCGCTACAAATGCGCAGATTAGTGAGAGTGGGAGTGCGAGTTAGAGTAGGAGTGATGTGAGGTGAGAGTGTTGCGGCAAAGTAGCACTTACAACATAGATTGGCTGCGATAAATACGCAATTACATCAATTAATAAACAGCCTAAATAATTAAAATTCCTACCCCAAGTCACTATTCCACGCGAACGAAGTCGCGGGCACAGCTAGTTAGCTATAACTTAAGTTTGTAAAGATGACGGGGTTTGCAAAAACTAATTTGGATGCCCAAAATGACGATTCTCGTGAACGAAGTCGCTGGCGCAGCTAGTAAAGAATATAAATTATTCTTACGTAATAAACAAGTGTATAGAGGGCGTTTTCTGTATTTTCAATATGGGATTACAAGTGATCTAGACTAAATCCCAATAAACAGCAGAAAATTAAAGGACACTATCAGTTAGTTTAACCGCCTCTGTAGCCAAATGGTTAAACGTATTGCCAAGCATTGAGTTAAGCGCGAGAGGTCCTGGGTCGGGCAGGGCACAGAAGTGTGATCGACTACTTGCCCGTTGAAAGAACGGATCAGTGAAACGGATACAGAAATGTGTTCGCCCCCATGCCCCCGAGGGGGAAACGGGCTTTCACTTCTGAGTTAGTTCTGTGAGGACCCAGCAAGATTCTCATACCAACTAAAACGAAACAGTTAACGTAGCAGATTTGATTTTGATATTATGGACACCCTTCACCTAAATCCTTCCGAGACTACGTCTGCTATAAAGGATCCGAGATCTGAAAACTTCAATTACTTTAAAACAAACCGTTTAAACCATTCCAAACCGTTTAAAGCCGTTTTATTTAGTACATAGTTTTATTAAGATTTATACAAGACTGGAATTTTCCATAATATGCACTATTAGTCATTGTGTAGCGCAATGTGTCTACAAATTAGCATAGATCTAATTTAAAGTGCTCGCAAACATCCTCAGTGAATAACCTATAACAATGACATACTTATTTGTCGTGTCTATCATGTGTGTGTTACGGGTAACGTTATTAACGGGGCATTATTAATAATGCCCAAGAACGATGGGCAAAGTAATTATCACTCTGACAGCCTACCTATACTAATATTGTAAAGCTGAAGAGTTTGTTTGTTTACCGCGTTAATCTCAGGAATTACTGATCGAGAGAGGGTTTTTGGATAAAACATCAGCGAAGAAATAGAGAAATAACACACACTTTAACGGTTTTAAAATGCAATCGGGCAAAAGTTAAAAATCGTTTTCAAATAAGTTTAACGAATATATCGCGTTTTAAACCGTTAAAGTGTTTCATTTAAAAGGTTAAAACTATTTATCCTTGAGGGCTGCCGTTGCCTGCGCTGAGAAAACGGCTCAAGAAACAAATAAATATGTACGAAAGAATGATATTTCATTAGATTACCTAAAAAAAGGCCGCGACAGTATAGTATGTGTTTATCTTTTAAGATCAGCTCGCTAGAACCGTTTCTATGGTAACCAAATTTACGAGATTAATGCGTTACCAATACCAAATGTTGCTAACGAATAAAAACAAAATAACATTTGCCGGATCAGCTCGTGAAATAATAATAATTTAGTTAAATTTATCCTTTATTGAAGAATGTAAATTATTGTGAACACTATTAAATCTGTATTTTGTAAGAGAAAAAATGTTGCACGGCCAAAATTGATAAGACATCTCAAATCCAGTTTTAAAAGTTTCCAAGATATATAAACTAAGATTGGTTATCCATTTCGGGCATAAGGCGACTGTTCAAATTGAGTTGCTTTGGTTTAGACGCATTCCATGTGGGCTATTGGGGGAGTGGTGGAGGGGGGACATAGCCGCGGCCGTAGTAAGCTGTGTCATATGCCCCATGACCGCCCAATCCGTAGCGACCCAGCATGTATCCCTGAATTTTTTGTTTCGCGTGAAATGTGGCGCTGCTCGACTGAAAGAAAAGATAATATGAATAAGTTTTTAAAACATTTTGGCTATATATGGCTAACAATATAAGAATTATCTATAGTTAACGAGAGTAGTACCAAATAATAAATTTTAACCGTTTAAAAAGCGATCTAAATTATATAACCACTTTTTAATATAATAAATCAAATAAATGAACGCTGTTCAACTTATAAGTTAGGCACAAAAGAATTATCCTTACTATAATTAGCTTAAGTAATACTAACTAGTTACTCGTGTTTGTGTAACTATTATAGTTAGTAAGCCCTATAAAATAAATAAAAACATTTATATAACTTTGAGATTATCTCTAAAGGCGTATTATTGTCTGAAAGATTTCTTTAACGACAAGACCAGACCGCCTGGCAGTTATATGAAGCTCCTGATTAAGAAATTTACAAAAATTTATTAGTTTATAAGAGTTAAGTTGCTCTTTTGACCACACTGTAGTATCCCAACGAACAGACAGACAAACAAAACATTTTTGACGAATTTAAATATTTTTTAAATTTTAAAGAGAATAAAGTATATTTTATTTTATTTCATATTTTCAATAAAATTCCAGTTTTAAACCGTTTAAAGTGTTTTATTTAAATATATCGTAAGTTAGATTTTCGTATCAGGATGTTTGTAGATCGTCGTCCGAATTAATGTCATTCCAGCGTTTGGAATATTCGGGAATTGCTCATATGGAAAAGCCGTGAAGTGTGAAACCCTGTTTCGGTGTCAATCTGTATTTTTAGATGTTCAAAATCAAAATAAATTGACACAAGGCAGTTAGGCTAATATTGAATCAAGTGAATTCGCTGTCGACTTATTTCGCATTTGCACATCCGGAAATACAAAGACGCAAACCGAAACGCGACTAAAGCTTTTATCTGTGGACGGTTCGTTGACCCGGACAGAATTTTAATTTGCCACCAATTTTATATCTACCCTATTTCTATTACAAACATGAGACTTTTGAAAACTTTTGCATTTTCACATGATGGCACTGTATATATTAAAAATCGATTTTTAATTTATAAGTTGACTTTTTAAAATAGAAAATTAATGGTATATTTATTGTTAATACTTACGTCGAACAGAAGAACAAGGGCGAAAGCCACTAGGAGGCACAGAGTAACAGCTTTCATTTCGAAGAACTTGGTGACTGTTCTGAGAGAATCACGGGAATGCTATGATCCAATATTATGTCTATATACACTATATATACTGAAGCGGAGACTACGTAATAATATTTGAGAAATTTAATTTTTGCACGCGAGCTATAAACTGTTAAATTTAATTCGTTTTTGCAAGAAATTGATAGATTAATTTATTTATAGAGATTTGAAGTGCCGGTATAACAATTAAAGAAATGGAAAATAAATATCTCCAGGTAATTGGCTATTTATTATTTCTATGGAATACATTATTTAACATACATTATTTCTACTTCATTTAAATATAAGTTACGTCTTATAAATCTATCTAAACCATATATGTTATATTATTATTGTACTCATTTATATAAATGTATACCGATAATTTGGAGAAATATGGTAAAACTCAGTAGTTCACTAAAAAAATGTATAATGAATGTACAATTTAGTAATGTCTGAAACAAGTTGGATGTCGTCTAGCAATCTGGATAGTAAATGGGACGGAGGGACATTGAAATTCAGTCGGGGTCACGGAACACTGTCAACAGATAAAAAAGCTTGACGGCATTTCTAAACATCCAAACCAAAAAAAGTCGGGCACATCTTGTTGAGATGCCATATGGCTAGGCTGTTTTAACCACTAGCTTGTCGGCCCCCCTCTATCATAAAAAAAACACTTTTGTAATTGTACTTTAAGTCATAATTACAAAATGATTGTTTTATTTTGAGTTTGATGCTAAATAAGCAAAGATTTTTCTCATTAAATTAATTGTATATTTGAAAAAGTATTTTACATTGATATCTATAAAGTCGTATATAACTGGCACTTTAATTCGTCGGTCATGGATTAGAGTCTCGTTTTTATGTTACATTTTCAAATTTCACTAACGACATACGTAATAAAAATACAAGTCTAATACCATCGGTTTACAAACAAACAGACAAAATTAAAATGTTTACTTATTATATTCATGAATCTTAATTAGTGCAAAATAAATATCATTTAATGTAGATTATAAACTATATTGATTATTACGTGAAATTGCTATTATGATAAATTTTGCGTCGTCTAGCAAAAAAGTAATTATAATTAAGTTTTATCTTAAATTATAAAATTATATTTAAATTTAGTTTTTCACTAACCACATGAAAATCACATTAAACAGATTGAAGGTATATAACGTTCGTGTGGATATTTTGTTTAGTATATTACTGAAATTTGTAGTAGACAGTGCAATATTAATCTTTCAAAATGAAAGCCATCTACCTTCTGTTCGTCGTTCTGTCCGTCTTTCTTATGTTTGACGTAAGTTTTCCCCACCTGCAAACCAGTACTAACTAATTGTTTGTTAAATTCATGTGTTATCATAGCGATTTTTCTGATAGGAACGAATTGTTTTCGACCCATTTGTCCGTTTGTGGCCTGCAATGAGCATCCCACTTTTCAATTAGCCGCTAGAGCATTTAAAGTTATACATGAATGAGTTCTTTAGTGGAAAGGGCACATACCGAAAGGTCCCGCAGAACCACTGGTCCTTCTTCCACTAATATCTGTGTCTTCTTTGTTCATCTTGTTCTGCTTTCTTTCAGACTACCAATGGAAACAAGATCCTCGTCGCCACCAAAGCTTTCAATAAGGGCCGACTAGGCCTCATGGCTCGTGGATTATATGACCGTGCCGACAACACCCGTGGTTATTACGCACCCCCATCAAACTCCTACCCGATCCCCCCCTACAGAATGGACTAAAAGCATAATGTAAAGACTTCTACGATATCTTGATTCAAAAATATATATCTTATATGTTAAAAGTTTTTGTTTTGTCAGATGCTGATTGTAATGTGTAAATATTGTATATTATATAAATATCCTCCATATTTCCACAATATTATGTACTAATTCAATGAAATAAAAAGAATATAACAAATTCTTTATGCCTTTCTTTTTTCTATCCTAAATCTAATTGTAGTTGAAGTATTATATTTTCTCTACAAGCATTTTATAGACAATACTCCAAAATAAACAATGTTGATAGTTGAAAAATTTAAATTCTTATGCTTTACTCCCTGCTTTCATGGCCATTTGGTCACAGAGAATAAGAATGGGGACAGCAGTCTGTATAGCTCTCAAAACGTTGGGTCGATAATAAATTAATATGTATCGCGTTTGAAACTGTTATATCTGGTTTATTTATTGATTACCATTCGATTGAACTAAGGACAATATTTTATGAAGCTGTTACGATACACACATCGGACCTTGTCTTTTAAGGAAAAGAATAATATACTGAAGAAAACAAACATTTCTTCATACACAACATTCGCCTTATTTAATGATGATTCTCGACTGCAGGTAACGATACAGTTTTCTAACTCCTAGAACTGGAAACACTCCAGAGTTTTAGAGTAGGAAGTGTCAACACCACTTAATCCATAAGGTCACGTTAAGACCCGCGACCAAGTTGTCATCATTAATTTTAAATTAGAGGCGGTATTTAAATAAAACGGTTTAAAATACGAAATAAATTATTTAATCTATTAAAAATTAGTTGTAAGTCTTTAACTTGTAGTAAAAGCTGAAACACGAGTTGTTTTAAACCGTTAAAAGTGTTTTATTCAAATGTGGTCTACTCGCGTAAACTAGAGGCGGTAGTCATTAAAATTCGCTACCACGTACGGCGTGAAGTCTTAAACTCGATCTACAGTTAGGGGTAATCTACCTATGCTCAATTTTAGCAAATGAAAGAGTTACCTTTTACTTACCTAGACTTCGTCCGCGTAGACTAGTTATTTTGAGCGTTAAAATTTGTGAAAACTGTTACCCACGACGTCGGTCGCGTCCTGACGGCTTTGCGAGTTCATCCTATAAGATAAACATATACTGTCGCAGACATTTGTTTAGATCATTTAAAGAGGAATCATTCTGTCATACATATTTTTAAGCTTTCTTGAACCGTTTTCTCAGCGCCCTTAGTTAAAGTTAAAACATATTTCAGTTTTTTTTACATTTCCCTATGTTTCTTTGACCTATTGATCGTGGCGTGATATTATATAACCTAAAGCCTTTCGATAAATGACCTATCGAACATAAGTTTAATATTTCAAATTGAACGAATAGTTCTTGAGATTAGCGCGTTCAAACAAACCGTTTAGTTATTAGTGTAGATTAATTGGAAATCTTTTAAAATATACATTGTGTTACTGGCCTTTCTTTGTGCCCGCAATGACTTGTAGTATCAGCGTAGCATTATAGCTATCCAAGTTACTGTCTGTAGTTTACATGAGTAGTACCTACACATTTAAATAAAACACTTTAACGGTTTAAAACACGATATATATTAGTAAAACTTAATAGAAAATTATTTTACCTATTATTAATCGCGTTTTAAACAGTTTATGTGATTTATTGAAATATCTGATATCGTGAGTAACTGTGATATATTATTTGCAAAGTTTATTCTTATTTTGAAATAATGATAACGTAAATATTAAATTTTAAAGTTAGAGCAACATCACATATCGCTTTGGAATCCCGTTCAAGTCCCGTCAGTGGTGTCAACTCTATAATACTTTAACTAACATATAACCCAATAATTAACTTTATTTTAATCAATTTATTTTTGTTTTTAGTTTATTGTCTTATATCCAAACATTTTCTGGTCAAAAAAGTTTTAAAAACTTTTTGTCTGTCAGTAAATTGAGGTTCCAATGTCCAATTTAATATTTAAACATTCCAATATACGAAGGTCTGAGTAATAAATTGTAATAAAAAAACTTAGTTAAAATTACGCTTTTATTAACAAGAACTGATTGAAGTGAAGTAACATTTAATTTGTAATTGTAAGAAGAGAAAATAACGTTTTACAAGATTCTAAGATAAGATTTGGAATTGTTATAACTTCATAAGTTTATTGTTGCATTTTAATTATCACTTGATTTGTATTTGTCGTCCATGGGTAGGGGGGAACGGTGGCGGTGGGGGGGAACTGTGGTGGTGGGGGGGAACACTGACGGTGGGAGATAGCCGCGGCCGTAGTAAGCTGTGTCATAAGCCCCGTGACCGCCCAGTCCGTACCGCCCTAGCATGTATCCGTGGATTTTCTGCTTCGTGTGGAAGGCGCTGCTCGACTGCAAAAAAGGGAAATATTAAAAATTTCTTCAATTCTAATGGGGGGAGGGGGCTAATTGCGGTCACAACCAATGGCGGATCCAGCTTTGGCGCTCGTAGGGGCTTAGTATGGTCACCGACACGAAATTTTCCCCAGAAAAATAATTAACCCGAGCTAGGATTAAAACCTGGGACTTTATGATCTGAAGTCGAATACTAACTGGTCCCCCTTTTTTGCCTTTACACGTTTGAAGTTTTTACTACTTATCTCTAAATTAGCATAAAAAACGAACCCAGAAACCAACAATACTAAAAAAATATTATTTTAGTCCACACACAGTTGATGTGGATCACTTTTTGAAGCTTGAAGATTGAAAGGTGATGGAGCAGCGTGTGTGTGTGTGTAGGAATTTCAAATACTCACGTCCAAGAGTAGAACGAAGGCAAACACCAGAAAACACAAGCTAAACGCTCTCATCTTGAATAACTTCGTAACCGTTCGGAGGAAATCCTAAGAATGATGTCCAAAAATTATTTCTATACACTATATATACTGAAGTGAAAACTATCATAAACATTTTCAAATTACGTCAAATTTAATTTTTCGTTTTTACACACAATCGACGGAGAATAATATTATATTTGTCGAGATAAATATAGACATTTAATTTATTGTTTTGAAATATAGAAAAACATTTCAAGCGAAACAATATTTAATTCTAATAATTTCGTCACAATTATTTTGTGACAGAGGCCAGAGAAGCATGGGGTTCCCTTGATGGTAGGTCCCCAACCAAATACTAAACAAGATGGCGGCTAATTTTTGGCTTTGGATGGCTCCACAGACTAAAACGCGTTTAACTTCAGTCTTTGCCTCTGTGGACCAGTATAGATTGTGGTATTCTAACCATTAAATATTCAGGCTTCCAGACGAAGTCCAACATGTTTCAGAAAAATATAAATTGTTGATTATTAGTCAAAAATTGCATCTAAAATTACTACATTACAGTAATTATTATTAAATAAAAAATATAAGAGCATTTTATATGTGTTACTTCGTATGAACGCTATATTATGATATATAATACAATCCGGTTTCCCCCCGTGGGGCATGGGGCGAACACATTTCTGTGTCCGTTTCATTGATAGATTTTATTTACAGGCAAGTAGTTTATAAGACTCTGCTCTGCTCGAGCGAAAAAAGCGTTTGTTTCTCCGTGATTCACCCGGGATCTCTTGCGCTTAATGCAGTGTTATGAGCGTACTCGTAGTAATATAAATTGTCATGTCTGTAAGATAAAGTAATAAATGAATTTCGTATTTTATTTTATATTATTAGTCATTGAAGCAATTCGTAAAAAAATATTCCCTAATCATTTCAAAATATAATCAATGCACTTTTTAAATTTTCACTTCTAACGGCTCAGCGCGTAATTTTCCGAACGTTGTCGGTAGTTTACACTAGTGGCAGACGGCTTACGGCTTAAAACGTGAAAGATAGATTTTTTAAAGTAGTTAACTTCTAAAGTAAATTAACGTGTAACTTATATTTTAACTTTGAATCTACATTGTATACACATTTTTATACATTTAAATAAAACTCTTTATCGGTTTAAAACGCGATAAATTCGTTAACCTTATTTAGACATTATTTTCAACTATGGCCCGACGTTTCGGATGCTTTGCAGCAGCCGTGGTCACGGGACGACAGCAATTTAAACCGTTAGTGTTTTGTTTAAATGTCACTCACGTAAGCTGCAGACACTATTTAATTTTTATGTAATTATATTTTTTTGCGAGTTTGGTAAAGTGAGTATATCAACACTACACACATAATACATACACATGCATATACTTACATTATTTTTAATTATAAGGTGAATACTGTCAGGTCAATTAAACGTACTGGTTACTCTTTAAATAGTAACTTCAGTGATAATCAAATTTATAATAGAAAAGGACAGACACACATCGGGTCCACTCGATGCTACGTGAAACACTCCCAACTATAAATCATCAAAGCAATATGGGCTGACGACCCATTTTGTCTTAATACATTTGAAAAATTCTATATTCCTACCAACCCTTTAAAATTTAGATTTCCAAAAGTCCAGCATGTTTGAAAATATATATAATTATAATAGAAAAACAAAATTATAACATACAAAAGAAAATGTTTTCCTTGCTATATTTCTTGCGATCTAAATAAAATAATTAGTAAATATTATTAAATTTAAATTAGAACGTTTATTGATTGTTACATAAAATTGCTATTATTAAATTTTTTTCTGTCGTCAAGCAAATCGTTATAATAATTGAGTTTTATCGTTTTAGAACATTAATTTTAATTTTGCGAAAATTTAGTTTTTCACTACATTCACGTGTAACAATTAAACGGATTGAAGATATATAATGCCCGCGTGGATACTGTGTTCAGTATATTACTGAGATCTGTAGTAGACAGTGAATTATTAAACCTTCAAAATGAAAGCTATCTACCTTCTGTTTGTCGTTCTGTCCGTCTTCCTTATGTTTGATGTAAGTAGTTTTGTGTTTTTTTAATTCTGATACACGTTAGTGCATCGACTGCATATAATCGATCAGTAAAATGTTTTATAATTTAGATAAAGCACTTTAACGGTTTAAAACGCGATATATATTAGTTAAGTTAAGTTAGTTTTCGTTTCGGATGTTTTATAACAGCCGTGGTCACGGGGAGACGAGTATTAACAGTGTTTTTTACTTTATGTACCTACTGTCTGTAATTACGCGAGTATTTAAACCTTTAACGGCTTAACACGCACAATGTATTGGTCAACTTACAGTTAATCTAAATAATGACCACAGCCGCGAAGCATCTGAAAGTACACAAAATTGTATAAAAGTGTACTAATATCTTATTCTTGTATCAATATTTTTGCCCCCCCACCCAGGGAAAATTTTAATCATAACATGTGCCTAATCTATACAGATTATATGAACGATTTCTTTGGACATAAGATCTTAACATACGGCTTTTATTTCGAACCATAAAAATCAGGTTTTCTAAAACCAGAAAGAAATGGCCACAGACCCAAATGACCCACAGATCTTTTCCACTCACACAAATTATCTTCTTTCAGACCACCAATGGAAACAAAATACTTGTAGCCGCCAAGGCTTTCAAAAAGGGCCGAATGGACCTCATGCATCGCGGGATGTATGACCGTGCTGTCAACAACCGCGGAGAGTATGCACCCCCACCAAACACCTACCCACTTCCCCCCTACAGGATAGATTAGAAATGTAATATTCAGACCGTTCAAACAATAATTATACACAAATTACTCTATATATATGAAAATATTTCCACTATTGTAAATATTCTTTGTCCTCAATACTTATTCAATGAAATAAAAGGTTACAACAATTTTCGTTGCGTTTTCGTTTATCCTATTTCTTACTACATACTATTAAGAAGTTACCAGTCATACAATACAGACGGTTAAAAAACTTTTTAAACAAAAGAAAAAAAACATCAATATCTGTACTAAGCACTACAATATGTACCTATTTGAAGCCGACATACAACAGTCAGAAAATAATGAAATTTAAACGCGAAACGTTATCGTCGTGTAAGGGGTTTGTGTTGATGACGGCATTTTGATGTTGAAATGTTGGATTTAATGTTATGAGAAAAGCAGAACGGCTTACAAACACGCTGAGCCCGGTGGTATCTGAACCATTGTACAAAATTTTATCTTAATACACATCAAGGCAAAATCTTAAAATTGTTGCTACTGGAAATAATGTATTTCCGTTGTAACATACTTGTCGCGTTTTAAACAGTTTAATATTAATTAAATTATTAAATCACTCAATTAATGTGTAATCATCTATATTACACGATTGACGATACAGTAAAGAACGTGCCTGCTGGTCGATTAGCAGCGATAATCAACTTCGACACCCATGAATTGTTATTAAATGTCATTAATATCATAATTTTCCAAAACAAGTTAAACTTCTGAAAATTTGGTGTTACCAAGAGGGTATTTCTGCGTTATAGTTTCAGTCTGTGAATTTCCAATAGTCCAATGCCGACAGCAGTCTAGTTAGATGCTATATGGCTAGGGTATTTCCCTTCCATAATATGAACCCCGTTCTTAGTCATACAATAGTAGTAATATATTATATATTTGTTATCATAAGCGTCCTTCTAAGGTCGATATCGCATCTTTGTGCTAAATAACGTCTCAACTCGAAAACGACGTAAATACCACTTTTATTAAATTCAATCCGTACCTCTATGCTAAGGTAATAGAAACCTATATTTTGCAATATTTACATGGGTTTTACGTTAATATGTTATATATACAGTGTAATAAATTGTTACTATCATTCTTACATCAAAGTTACATCAAGGAAGACGCCATGATGAAAACTTTCAACGCGTGTGTTTTGTTTTTGGGCATCTTTCTCCTTTTTGAGGTCAGTTTTTTATACACTACATACATATATACCACACTAGCTGTACCCGCGACTTCTTCCGTAAGGAATTGTTATAAATATTTTTTTAACTGTATTCGCAGCGTCAGCGCACGCGTTGGAAGCCCTAAAAGATCATTTTTTTTTTGTTTCCTCATTTCCCTCTATTCCTTCGCTCCTATTAATCGCAGCGTGATGTTATATAGACTAAAACTTACCTTGATAAATTTTCTAACTAACACAAATATAATTTTACAATTCGAACCAGTAGTTCCAAAAATCACTACGAGCGAACAAACTATTCAGCTTTATAATATTAGCAAAGTTAACAATAGACTTACTTTTCTATAACAAGGGTCAAACACATTGATTAGTTAGATCGTTGGTTAGTAAGGGCGAATGGACCTAAATTATATATCATAGTGATATCCCGTTTCCGCCAGTGGGGCATGGAGTGAACACATTTCTAAAAATGTAAAAAATAACTTTAACGTTTTAAAACGCGATATATTTTAGTTTATTTACTTACTAATTTATCTTTTACTGCGAACCAACATTTCGAATACTCTCTACTTTTATATTTACTTGAAATATATGTCGCGTTTCAAACCGTTAAGTGTTCTATATAATATATAATATCCCCTATTGGTAGTTTTTGATACGTACAACGGGACGGTTTATCTAATCTCGTCTTTCCATTTTTCAGTCAATTAGCGCTCATTGGATCGGTGGCTTCGGCCCTCGTTTCGGAGGCTTTGGGGGTTTCGGAGCGTTCGGTGGAGGCTTCTACGGAAGAGGCTTCTACGGAGGATATGGGCGCGGTTTCTACGGACCACGTTTCTACCCACCCCCGCCCTTAATCTACCCGCCACCACCCTTCTGGGGTTAACGACCTTTCGCCTTTAACTGGAACGGAGCTAATTAATAGATTTACGCAATAGTTTATTATCGTTGAAATTTGTATTCTTATTAATTTATGCTAAGTGTTTAATTATGATTTAATGTTTGCATGTTTTGCATTATATACTCGGAACGAATTTTATGTAAGAATATAAATAAATCATTTTAAATAAAACACTTTAACGGTTTCAAACGCGCTATATATATTACTTAAACTTATTTGAAAATAACCCCTCTCCCCTGTCTCCCCGTGGCCACGGCTGCTGCTAAGCACCAGAAACGTCGGTCCGTAGTAAAAATAATTTTCAAATAAGTTTAACTATTATATATCGCGTTTTAAACTGTTAAAGTATTTTATTTAAATGTCTACTACTCTAACTACAAACAGTATTTTTTTAAATAAAACTCCATTGCTGACGTAATGTATTTAATAACACATATTATTCAATATAAGTTACACAATGAGGACTTAAATCTATGACTAGTTCAACGGCAGACATACATTTGTGTCCGGAGCTTTAGGCCTCAACAGTAAATAGCGCTTGATAACATCCGAGAAGATATTTGATATCTTTAACAGTGGGAAATTTGGCAGAAAAATAGTTGCATTTTTTTTTCTATAATTATTCAGAAAATACACAATCACAGTTAATAGGCAATATTCAAAACGAAATCACTTCGATCTTCCGCTACATAATGGTGAAAATTCGCGAAAATTATATTTGAAAAGTCAAATTAATGTATACTTTTCGCGAAAATTTCAAATAGAACTACGGATTTATACTATTAGGTTTTATATCTCTTAATTATAAATCGAAAAATCTTTGATATGTAACGATTATATATATTTGTGATATGTATTCTTTACCTAGGCACCTAGCAGACAAAGTGTTGCCACAAAATTCCTAATAACTCACAATTACACAGAATTGCCATATCCGACATCTCTAGTTCAAATTTTCCTAAAATACTCGAAACTACACGAAGCTTAGGTAAAATGCGATTTTAATCAATAATTATTAGAATTTTAGGAAAATTTGAATTTAGCCTAAACACGAATGACTCGTCCTAATTTGAATTTAAGTGAATTATAAGGGATCTTGTATCTTAAATCTAACTTAAATAAAGAAGCGTCCACATTTTTACACCGACTTAAGATTACGTGATATGTTATATTATTTTATTACCGACATCAATTTTAATCTATATAAATGCCTCAGCCAGTAGGATATGTATATTTTAAATTTGAAGACTTATTTTAAAACTATGTTTAAGTTATTAAGGATTAAACACATTTAGACGCTAGTTAAGTTAGTAATTAAACAACATTCATAAGATAATCGAATATTCAACGTATTTTAATCTTATCTAAGTCTACATATTCGAGTGAAGAAAAAAAATGACTACATTATATATTTTTTGTAATTTTTACGCCATAATGAAATAAAATTGTTCGTTTGACCATTGTTCAAGCCTTATTTCGACTGTCAAAATCATCATTGGTTGAAATATTATTCATGAATTTATGAACATACATTTATGAATAACATTTCAACTTGAAACTAAGAAAATACTACAAGTCGTCGTGTTTCTGCGAATTTAACTTATACATCGCAAGTGTTCAAAATTGTAGCATCTTCTCAATCTCCATGAATAAAAACACTTACCATAAAGTAAATATAACGCAAATGTAAAACGGGATAAATGTTTTTATTCATCCGTGTATAGAGCAAAATGAACGGTTTAATATTTGATGAAATGGTGTCTGCGTGTGTTCATTTCACTCGGTTTATGATTTAGTGCATACGGTAGACGCCTGTGCGTTTCTCACCGGCCGTGTGTTGGACGATTTCGCGAATCTGGTCCGTAGCCACTGGTCCTATGCAGACCAAAGCCTCCTTGAAGTAGCCACAGCTCTGTCAAAGAATTCATTACATGAATACATGTAGCATATTGATTAAGCTAGATGGCGCGTCATCGATTACCAATGAAACACTTTAACGGTTTAAAACACGATATATTTTAGTTGAAATTGTTTGAAAATTATTTTTAACTACGACCTGACGTTTCGGATGCTTTGCAGCAGTCGTGGTCACGGGGTCACTAAAGATCGAGGATGTCTCCGACGTCAAAGTAAACCTATATCGCGTTTTAAACCGTTAAAGTGTTTTTTTTAATGTGTACTACTCGCGTAAACTACAGACAGTATTTGATTACCAATGAGTTTACGAAAATATTGCAAAGTTCATGCAACAGTGAAAATTTAATTTTACTCTCAACCTCAAATATTTTTATTTTATGATAGAGGAGGAAGATGGAATCAAGATGCACCGTCGACCTATTTCGGTTATGCATATTCTGAAATCCACAGACTGAAACCGGAACACAATTGACAGCTTTTTCATTTGTACACAGTAGTTCGTGACCCGGTCGGAAATCCTCTTACCCATTTAATATCTAAATTTCCAGACAAATAGTTTCAATAAATATTGATTAGAAACATGCTGGACCCGATCGGTATCGAATCCATGACCCGTTGATTATTATTATTATTACTATCATTAGACCAACGAGCCTTTGCTGGAGTTCGGCCTCCTCTTTTATAGTAGATAGAGTTTAAGAGCTTAACCCACCACGCTGTTCCAGTGCAGATTGGCGAATTATACGGTTTAAAGTGCTCTACGATGCATGCACGTCCCAATTGTAAACACCGGGAAATTATTAGATTTCCTTTAGAAACTTACTAAGATGTCGGCCGATCCAAGCTACCTAGGGCCTCATTGCAGTTAAATTCACTAGCCACTACACCATTTTAAGTTATATTTATTTATATATTATAATAAATACGAACAAGTTTCAAAACTTCATAGAAAAATGTCAACAAACAAAGATTTATCGTCGTCTAAATAACATTGCTTCAAGCCTTAATAAGCTCAGAATAAAACATCCATTCCAGTCTCTTAATACTCTGTTATACGAAACTAGGTAAAAAATACAAAGGATTTCCTTTTATTCATCCGCAATTTTAATTCGACTCCGCGGTACATTCCTTTGAAGTTTACAAAGGTAAGGTTTTTATTCAAATATATTTACTTAATGAAACAACTCGTCCTTTCCTTTTAAGAAGAAACATTCTAACAATGTAATAAAAGTCATGTAACGAACGCGTAAACATTGGAATCGATTCACAACATATTTTTCGTCGTAATTGACAAATGGTCTCGACGTTGCGACGTCAAAATTGGATGACATAATTGTGAGATGTCGCGCATTCCTCGACTAGGCGAGAGTCGATTACGACGGTCGAACATAATATGTAGACTCTAATGGCTTTGCAACATACTCGCAACACTCTTAGATAATTTATAAAAAGTAGGTATATATAGGATGACAAACATCCTACTTCCTACTAATATTATAAACGTACACTTTTGAACGTCAATTTAAACATTAAAAACGTGAAAAAGTTTCCAAATAAAGGGCGTAGACCAAAGCAGAAGAACTGGCAAGAATCTCGCCGCCACTCCTCGTCAATCAAGTTTTTTTTACTAATCCCTTGCTCGCGGGTTCGTTCAAACCCCAAGCATTGATATCGTTTGAATATTGATTTACGGTATAACTTTCCAAGTTTTTCTTTAACGTACAATCTTGGGTTCGATCCCCACCGGATCCAATAAGTTTATAATTTTTCAATTAATAATTTTTCTGAAACAAGTTGAACTTCATCCGGAAATCTGGATATTCAATGGATGGTCGGAATATCGAAAACTCCGTCCGGGTCACGAGCCACCCACAGATGAAAAGGGCGTGAAGTTAATCCCGTTTCTTCTCGTGCTGATGTCATATTTCACCTCCTATCAAACACCGTGCTTATCTGCCCTCGTCTTTCATAAAAATAAACTTGTAATTAAAGCTGATTAAATAAAAAAAAAACTTATTTATTAACAGTGACAGTTCAGAGCGTCTGAATTCAAAATGGCCGCCGTGAACAATGTCTGTTTTGTTCTATTTCGATTCATGAGTTCTCACCTTGCGCGGTTTCTGCCTGTGACGGCGTTGCATGACGCAGCAGAGGCCCCTGGTGATGTCACATTCGCTTGACGTGGCGCAGTCCTCATTGTATTGCTTGCGGCCGGCAGTCGGGAGGCGACACACGTGCATTTCGCCTATGAAACAATATTTACTCCAGTCAGCACAACTTGAAGGTCGTGCTCAAGTACTGTATGTAGTTTACGCGAGTAGACTACATACAGTACATTTAAATAAAACGCTTTAACGGTTTAAAACGTGATATATATTAAACTTTTTTTTTACTTCGATTCGACGTTTCGGACAGTGTGCAGCAGCCGCGGTCACGGGGAGCATTCTCGTTTGTCGTGTTTTAAACCGTTTAAGTGGTTTCTTTAATCATGTTCAAGTTATTATGGATAATAGGACATATTTTAAGGGTACAAGGTTATAACTATATTTATATTCTTGTGTGTGGCTGTCTGTCAACGTGCTATATTAAAAACCGAGATAATATATCTAATAATAATATATTTAATTTTCCTGAATTGAATTAATAATAATAACGTTTTGGTCGTATACTTTTAATTTTAGCTATGAACTCTTACGAACCTGGTACAACTTCCTCGCAAACTAAACCCGCGTCGCATTGATTCTCTCTATTGCAGATCTCGCCAAGTTTTCTTCCGGAAAATGCAGGAAGACATCGACCGCCATCCTCTGTTGACAAAACAATTAAATAAAAAATAATCCCATTTATTGTAAGTGAAACCCACGCTTAAACTTATACGCGTACCGACAATGCGTCATATTGAGCCGAAGAGGTTATATTGATAAAAAACGGTTTGAAACGCGAAATATAATAGTTAAAAGTGTATTTATTACTTTTTTCAAAAAACTACAGATTTGGGAGATTTTGATTTGAGGTTATTTACCATTGTTTTGCACGAAATTAAAGTAAAGCATGCATACAAGGTCAATATATTTGTTAACTTCTTAATTAAACTTTATAAAATACCTATAATAGTTTATAAATATTAATGAATGTTATTAAAAAATATATTAAACGGTTTATTTATTTGGGTCGAAATAAGGCATGGAAATTAAGCACTTTCCCGTTGCAGATTGATCTGAAATTTGGTACACGCATTTAAATTAGACGACTATTCAATATAATAATTCGATAACATTATAAATCCAAGATGGCCGCCGATACAAAATGGCGGATTACATGTTTCCTTAATCCCCTCAATATGGGTATCAAATGAAAGGGCTACACTAGTAAAAAACGATGGTTGTGTCAAAATTAGATTTTTCTGTAGTTTTCAGTGCACAAAAAAATAAAACCGTGTAACTTAAAAGTTTTTTTACCGATTTTAATACTATATATATAAAATAAAAGAATATTAGCAGGTCTGCTTGTTTAGGTATCAAAAAAAATATATTTAACCGGAAGAAATGGTAAGCATGTAATTGATTTTTGAAGTAATCATTATAGTAAATAGATTTTTGGTATAGTTTCGGAAAAATTTTGTCAGGGCCGAGACTCGAACTCACGACCATAATGTAAATGCCAGTGTTATGCTACTTACAATCTTAAATATCTTTTTGATTTATATACGGATTCGTGTGCACTAACATGAAAAATAACGATTAAAACTTGACTAGAATTATTTCTAGGTCAGCTTAGCGTAAGCAACATTTATTTAGAACGCGGACCTTGTACAATTACAAATATTTACATATATAAGTAATAGCTGTGCCCGCGAATTCGTCCGCGTGAAATAGTTATTTTGGATATCAAAATTGATTTTTGCAAACAAAACATGTTATGACATGACTTCTGTAAATTTGAATATTAAGTGAATATCGGTGGTAGGAATATCGGAATTCTTTCCAGGTCACGAACTACCATCCACAGATAAAAAAGGCGTGAAGTTCAATCACATTTCGATTTCAGTCTGTGGACTTCCGAATATCCAAACCTATTAACCTAGAACCTAGAATTTCACCTATCATCAAGAAGAGAAACCATGCTTAACCTCCTCTATCATTAGAAAAAAAAGGCTAGCCACTTAAGTTAATCGTTTAGTGAAAATGCCCCAATAGAACACGGAACTGCTATGTGGAAAATCTCCTTTAATCAAATTACATCACCCACTTTTAATATTTCAAAGTGTTTCAGCCTATTACTGAAATGGGACAATGACATACATTTTCTAATTTTCCAGAATAATTTTCACCAAATTATATATTTACTTGATGGAAGGTGAAATAGCCCAGCCATATGAGAATTGAACAAGAGTGCTGTCGTCCTATTTTTGGCTTTGGATATTCAGAAAGAACTAAACTTCACAGGTTTTTTATCAGTAAACGGTGGTTCGTGACCTGGACGGAATTTTTATTTTCCTACCACCCTTTTAATATCCAGATTTCCAAACAGAGTCCAACATGTTTCAGAAAAATTATAAATTGATTAGAAGAATGACCCGACGGGGATCACCGTCGGGTCCATCATCAAGTGAACTCTGTCTGTCCTCCTCTATCATAAAAAAACATAATAAATTTAAATGCCTAAGTAGGACCAGATTACTTTTATACACAGCAGTGTCAGTTGAATATTAAGTACTTATTATATTGGACCCACGATACAAACCCAAAAGTGAAAGTCCGTTTCCCCCTCGTGGGGCATTGGGCGAACACATTTCTGAGTCCGTTTCACTGATCCGTTCTTCTAACGGGCATGTAGTTAATCAGAATTCTGTGCCCTGCCCGACCGAAACAATGTTTTTGTTTCCCCGGGATTCGAACACAGGACCTCTCGCGCTCAACGCAATGCTAAGCAATACGTTTAACAACGTTTGGCTACAGAGGCGGACCGACAATTGGATAAATTTTGTTATCCTAAAACAGATCATTACATTTAATTTAGCGGAAAATTGAAAACAAGAATACACTTCGCAACAATTAATTGTAATATTCAAGTTATCAAAGGCTAATTATGAATTCAAATTACCAACTTCGCGGATTCAATCTAAAACTTTTCGATCCCAAACAAAGAGCCCGATAAATATTAAATTGTGGGGGGGGGAGGGATTTTGAAAGGTTTCATCAATCACATCTTTACGACTAGTCAAAGAATAATAGCTGGCTTATTGATATTATACTAAGTTATAAGAATTGTCTGTAGTTTACGCGAGTACACATTTAAATTAAACACTTTTAACGGTTTAAAACTTGAAGTATATAAGTCAATTTTATTTTAAATACGACCCAACGCATATTTTACAACAGCCGTGGTCACAGTCCCTTTTTACTATGGCCCAAAGTTTCGGATGATTTGCAGCAGCCAAGGTTATTTACGTTTCTTAATTTAAGATAATTAATTAAATTATTTTAATTATTGAAAACATCCATATACGCTCCGGGTAGCGAGAGTCGTTAAATGTAATGATAGAAAAAAGTGTATAGATTATAAATTAAACTAGCCGTATATATTAATTTTTGCAACCCTCCCCAGGTTTGTAAAATATAGCGTCGTTCGTGTCCCGTCGTTCTTGCAAGTTAATTTTAAAAGATAGACATACATACTCTTTCGAACATTTTAGGTAATTTCAAAAGGAATCTTTTCTACGTTTCCCCCCCCATTTTCCATTATTTCTTCACTAAATAATATAATATATCAATTCTAGTATTTAAATAAAACACTTTAACGATTTAAAACGTGATATATTAGTTAAACTTATTTGAAAATGATTTTTAACTTCGGCAGAAAAAAATATATTTAAATGTGTACTACTGGCGTAAGCTATAAACTGTATTTAATTTTAGTATTACTTGGAATTAGCGCGTTTAAACAAACAAATTCTTCAACATATAATATTAGTTACTTACAAAAGAAACTATTAATTAGTACTATTAAACGAAGAATATGAGACTAGTTTATCAGATTATTTTTAAAGTCATTGACACGCCCATAATAATAAATAAATAAGAATATATATATATATATAGACAGCATTTAAATAAGAAGTATGGAAAACATGGTATTATAAATTGTAAATATCGTTAGATTGTAAACTCGCTTGACAAATTTCGACAAAGTTCTTGAGCAAAGTTAAGGACATTCCTAATTGGGTAGCCACGTTAGAACAAATCCTTTGTTGTCATAATTCATTTCGATTTTACTAATTGTAAGACCTCTTATTTATATAAATCTAGTATTTGATAAGCCTTTTTGCCATCTGAACCGTCTCTGAAACTCGTTTAATTCGTTTCGGTCGGACAGGACACAGAGCAAAGTGGATATACACACATGGACACAGAAATGTGTTCGTTCATGCCCCACAAAGAATTTCATAATTACATGTTGTTATGCAATTGAAATGGTTTGAAAGATGTCACCCCGTGACCACGGCTGATGCAAACACATCCAAAAGGTCGAGACGTAGTTAAAATAAATTTACTTTAAGTAAGTAATATTACGTTGTAAATATTAAAGTAAGAAATATTTAAAATTGTAAATTCCAAAGTGTAGATTTCGTAATGAAAGGCTTTTTTTAATATAATTTTAATTAAGTAATATTACGAGTTTTATATCCTTGAAATTTTTTATTAAAAAAACTGAAAAATGCTTGATAGCCATTTATTAAGTTTGTAAAACATAATATTGTGGTTTATTTTATTGACCCTGTTAAGATAAGCTCTCGGAATAGATATATATCAGAGGAAATAATACGATTCAGGAGGATGGTCAAGCACAGAGTTCAGGTCTGGACCCTATATATACATCTAACTTAAGTGTTATTATCGTTAGGCGAAACGGCTTAAGATACCCAAAATATATATATATAAAAGAATCTTTAAATGATTTCAAAGAAATGTCCCCATAGTATGTCTATCTCTTAAGAAATTTTGTCAAAATACTTAATTATGGCAAAAAAAGTCGGGTCAACTAGTTATATATAAGCCTTTGTTGCGAATGATACCGGATACCATTTATCCCGGAAAACCTAATGTTTCCCGGAGGAATGTAATTTTCAGTTGAGTGCCGCTCCGGGTTTCTTGCTAGATTGCATTTTGTATTAGATTAAAATGCTGGCTGTTTGTTGTTTTATGAAGTTATAATTAAAACACATTCAGATTAATTTCTTAAAATAATTAAGATAGTTTAAAACACGAAATATATGATTAGCTTTGTCTTGACATACGCGCGATAATATATATCGTTTTATTTTTATTTTAATTTGCTAATTTCAGGAACTATCGGTTCGAATTGAATTTTTGTGTTAGTTAGAGCATTTAACGATGAAGGCTATATACGTATGAAAGAATGGGAGCGGCCGATATCGTGGGTAGCTAAAACTTATAATGATGGAGAGGTTTGAAAAAATAAATTTGGATCCAAATCCAAAATAACTATTCTACGCGGACGAAGTCTGGATCTAGAAGCGAAAACTTTTAATTGGCTTTCTGATAGCTAATTTGTCGACTGACCTATTGTATTGTAAGTTTTTCATACGTGAATAAATAAATAACTAAACAATGTCACAATGTACCATGTGAAAAGTAATAAAGCTTTCAAACGGCTTCAGGATTTGATTAAAATACTTCAGCGTCCCGTGTAAAAAGCAATGGAAGCGAATTAAAAAATAACGTAATTCCGCCGCGTCACGTAATGGCGAGCCGACGAGCTTTTATGCAAAAAAAGCTCTTGGTTATTTCACACTACACGAGGGCTTCAAGTATGCGCGACTCGAGATTTCTTTTGTCGGCGATTCGCGTGCGCTTTTATGGCTAATTTCGTTTATGAATTACCTTTCGCGTTTTCCGAGTTCGCGAAAATGTTGAAGCTATATATGATACAGTACACGACAGACAAACTAAACAATCACTTAGTCAAAGTCACGCACATATAACATCTAAACTAAATGTGTTGTCGACCTATTTTTCCTTAACTCTACAAGAATGTTGGATCATGATCCAGGCGGTATTTCATTTTTTTTAATAGAGGAGGACGGACAAGCATCGAACTTGAAATCTGTAGGCGGTGGTTCGTGACCCGGACGCTATTTCGATATTTCTACAACCCGTTTGATATAGCACAGTTCAACATTTCATAAAAATTGTAAAATGATTAAAACATCTTGAACCCGATAGGGGTCGAACCCACGATTACTTGATTATTAGCTGTACATCGCTACCATTACAACAACGAGCCGGTGAACCGAGAAAATGTATGTTAACTTTTATACCGTTGCCACTTTTGTTTTAATTGCTTACCAGTTTCCAAGCACATCAGTCCCCGACAACAGTCCCCGTTGCTGATACAAGGGGAGCTGTAGCAGTGGGTTTCCTCTGCGTCTTCTATACGGTTCCCTTCTAGGGCCTCCGCGTAGATCTCCTCTGGCTCCACCTACATTTAGATCTAATTTTAAAAACTACCCTCCATTATTGGAACAATGTATCTCATATTTTATCAAACATACTCTTGCACTTGTTCGTTGTTAGCGCGAGTAGTACATGTTTAAATAAAACATTTTTGACGGTTTAAAACGTGACATGTATAGTCGAACTTATTTACAATTTATTTTAACTACGGCTGCTGTATTTTCTTAGAAGTAGATATAATTAAAATGAATATTATTAGACATTTAACTAAAATTAAATTCATAGGTAAGTATTTTTTTTGTTTAAATGAAACACTCTAATGGTTTAAAACGCAATATGTATTAGTTAACGTATTTTAAATTTAATTTAATTTCCAAAGCCGTAGTAACGTACTCACATGCAGTTAAAACAAATTAAGAATAAGCTAACTAATTTAAATAAAACACTGTAACGGTTTAAAACGCGATATATTAAAAAAATTCAAACAAGTTAGACTAAAATATATCGCGTTTTAAACCGTTAACGTATTTTATTTAAATTTTTAGTACTCGTGTAAACTTAGTAGTATCAGTTGACTAATATATTTCGCGTTTAAAACCGTTAAAAGTGCTATTTAAATTTGTTGTACTCAAGTAAGCTACAGTACTGTACTTGCCGGTTTACCCTTTAAATATTAAAAGTAGCTCCTAATGAACACTTTTAATCCTTTTACATAAAACACTTTAACGGTTTAAAACGCGTATATGTTAGTTAAACTTATTTGAAAATGATTTTTAACTTCGGCCCGACGTTTCGGATGCTTTGCAGCAGCCGTGGTCACGGGGAGACTCTGTTTCTATTTAAATGTGTACTACTCGCGTAAACTATAGACAGTATTTAATTTTAATCCTTTTATATCAATTAATTTATTTATAGCGTATCATGAATGGGTTATTTTTATAGTGCTTGAGGTTATTTGAGTTGACAAAGGTCGCTTGGCAATCAAGTGATCCGTGAAAATCCTTTTAACGATAACATAGCGTGAAAGATTTATTATTTCAGTCACACTCCGCTCCTGTAATTTGTCGTAAGTCGAAAAGGCTATGTGAAAGAATGGTTCAGAGCGGTCATGGAGTGTATCATTTACCGATATAAATTTAAAAACGATATATTGAAAAAAAACTTGAACCGGCATCCACAACGTTCTGTGTTGTTGCTCTAACCAATTGAGTTACTGTGTCCTGTATCCGTAACAACCGATAATTAGAAGTATCAATTACACAAACATACAAATATGTCTGTTGAGTGAAAACCATTTTTAGCTATATTCAAAGTTTGAGTGCAAATGAAAAACGATTACTTTTATTTAGTTTTCTACATGCTATAAATTAAATACATAACGTTCAAAGTCCAATGTCCCATGTTCGAATCCGGGGGAAACAATAAATAGTTCAATAAATAGTAAAACACTCCAGCCATATAGCATCTAAACAAGATGTGCTGTCGGCCTATTTTGGCAATCGGTATCGTGATTAAACTTCACGTGTTTTTTATCTGTGTACGTTGTTTCGGGACCTGGACGGAAGTCCGAAGTCCAAACGTAACGTAACGTACATACCTGTCCATAAGGATAGTGCCGGTATGGTGACCGGCCGTACCCCAAGTTAGCGAGCATGTCAGAGCTGAAACGGTTGAAGAGTCCACCCCAGGCGTGGCTAGAACCCAGACAGGCCAAGAGCACCAGCGCCAATACACCCATGTTGATACTAGAACAAAATTTCACAATTAATACGAAGCCATTATATAGATTGGTTATATTTTCTCTTGTAAGCGATAAATGAAATTTGAATCAACCTAATGGACACAAAATAATGTCTAACGGATATAGAATGTCTGCTCTTCATAAGGACGCGTCTGATTTAGAAAAAAAAAAACGGTTAAAAGTAAAAGATATTTCCAAATTGCGTATTTTCGCCTTTCATAAAGTTATAGTCGGAAAAAAGTTTACGGGAGTAGTTAATATTAAGATAAAACACTTTACCAGATTAAAACGCGATTTACTTTAGTTAAACTTATTTGGAAATTATTGCAACTACGTCCCGACGTTTCATTTAAGAACAACATGTCAATAATAAAATAATTGTTACTAACATACATCGCGTTAGAAACTTGTTTAAGTGTTTTATTTAAACCCCTATAATTAGCATAAGGCGAACATATAAATGTGTCCGTTTTACTGATCGACTCTTTTTCAACAGGAAGACTTCAGACTTCTGTGCCTGGCCCGACCGAAACAATCTATTGCTTTCCCGGGACTAGATCTTAACGGAAAACCTATTGCCTAGCATTGTTACACGTTTTACCATTTAGCTACAGATTTAGGCCCTCTATAATTAGCAGATAATTAAATAGCTAAAAAAACAGCAGGAAACAAAAACAAATAAAAGAAATAAAAAATGCTTCACAAGCTACAGTATGTTTTTAATGTTTTTTTTTTATTAAAGCTTCATAGCAAACTTCTTTGAGCTTGAATAGACACTTTCTACCCGCAATAAAACCTCCTTACGTAAATAACCTAGTGTGTAGCCGTCCTTACAAAGAATGCTTACCGAAACATGGTCTGGTCTCCTCGGTGGCCTGGGAACAACTGTGGATCCATACAGGGTGCTGGAGTGCGCATGGTAGGAAGGAAAATTCGTCCACAATGGATGGACTTTCTTTGCGACAATTCTGAGCGTCTTTTTGCAGTGAATTTTATTAAAGGCGTTTTTTTTGTTAATGCAATTGGTTTCTTGACGCTAGTTAAGTTAGTAATTAAACAACATTCATAAGATAATCGAATATTCAACGTATTTTAATCTTATCTAAGTCTACATATTCGAGTGAAGAAAAAAAATGACTACATTATATATTTTTTGTAATTTTTACGCCATAATGAAATAAAATTGTTCGTTTGACCATTGTTCAAGCCTTATTTCGACTGTCAAAATCATCATTGGTTGAAATATTATTCATGAATTTATGAACATACATTTATGAATAACATTTCAACTTGAAACTAAGAAAATACTACAAGTCGTCGTGTTTCTGCGAATTTAACTTATACATCGCAAGTGTTCAAAATTGTAGCATCTTCTCAATCTCCATGAATAAAAACACTTACCATAAAGTAAATATAACGCAAATGTAAAACGGGATAAATGTTTTTATTCATCCGTGTATAGAGCAAAATGAACGGTTTAATATTTGATGAAATGGTGTCTGCGTGTGTTCATTTCACTCGGTTTATGATTTAGTGCATACGGTAGACGCCTGTGCGTTTCTCACCGGCCGTGTGTTGGACGATTTCGCGAATCTGGTCCGTAGCCACTGGTCCTATGCAGACCAAAGCCTCCTTGAAGTAGCCACAGCTCTGTCAAAGAATTCATTACATGAATACATGTAGCATATTGATTAAGCTAGATGGCGCGTCATCGATTACCAATGAAACACTTTAACGGTTTAAAACACGATATATTTTAGTTGAAATTGTTTGAAAATTATTTTTAACTACGACCTGACGTTTCGGATGCTTTGCAGCAGTCGTGGTCACGGGGTCACTAAAGATCGAGGATGTCTCCGACGTCAAAGTAAACCTATATCGCGTTTTAAACCGTTAAAGTGTTTTTTTTAATGTGTACTACTCGCGTAAACTACAGACAGTATTTGATTACCAATGAGTTTACGAAAATATTGCAAAGTTCATGCAACAGTGAAAATTTAATTTTACTCTCAACCTCAAATATTTTTATTTTATGATAGAGGAGGAAGATGGAATCAAGATGCACCGTCGACCTATTTCGGTTATGCATATTCTGAAATCCACAGACTGAAACCGGAACACAATTGACAGCTTTTTCATTTGTACACAGTAGTTCGTGACCCGGTCGGAAATCCTCTTACCCATTTAATATCTAAATTTCCAGACAAATAGTTTCAATAAATATTGATTAGAAACATGCTGGACCCGATCGGTATCGAATCCATGACCCGTTGATTATTATTATTATTACTATCATTAGACCAACGAGCCTTTGCTGGAGTTCGGCCTCCTCTTTTATAGTAGATAGAGTTTAAGAGCTTAACCCACCACGCTGTTCCAGTGCAGATTGGCGAATTATACGGTTTAAAGTGCTCTACGATGCATGCACGTCCCAATTGTAAACACCGGGAAATTATTAGATTTCCTTTAGAAACTTACTAAGATGTCGGCCGATCCAAGCTACCTAGGGCCTCATTGCAGTTAAATTCACTAGCCACTACACCATTTTAAGTTATATTTATTTATATATTATAATAAATACGAACAAGTTTCAAAACTTCATAGAAAAATGTCAACAAACAAAGATTTATCGTCGTCTAAATAACATTGCTTCAAGCCTTAATAAGCTCAGAATAAAACATCCATTCCAGTCTCTTAATACTCTGTTATACGAAACTAGGTAAAAAATACAAAGGATTTCCTTTTATTCATCCGCAATTTTAATTCGACTCCGCGGTACATTCCTTTGAAGTTTACAAAGGTAAGGTTTTTATTCAAATATATTTACTTAATGAAACAACTCGTCCTTTCCTTTTAAGAAGAAACATTCTAACAATGTAATAAAAGTCATGTAACGAACGCGTAAACATTGGAATCGATTCACAACATATTTTTCGTCGTAATTGACAAATGGTCTCGACGTTGCGACGTCAAAATTGGATGACATAATTGTGAGATGTCGCGCATTCCTCGACTAGGCGAGAGTCGATTACGACGGTCGAACATAATATGTAGACTCTAATGGCTTTGCAACATACTCGCAACACTCTTAGATAATTTATAAAAAGTAGGTATATATAGGATGACAAACATCCTACTTCCTACTAATATTATAAACGTACACTTTTGAACGTCAATTTAAACATTAAAAACGTGAAAAAGTTTCCAAATAAAGGGCGTAGACCAAAGCAGAAGAACTGGCAAGAATCTCGCCGCCACTCCTCGTCAATCAAGTTTTTTTTACTAATCCCTTGCTCGCGGGTTCGTTCAAACCCCAAGCATTGATATCGTTTGAATATTGATTTACGGTATAACTTTCCAAGTTTTTCTTTAACGTACAATCTTGGGTTCGATCCCCACCGGATCCAATAAGTTTATAATTTTTCAATTAATAATTTTTCTGAAACAAGTTGAACTTCATCCGGAAATCTGGATATTCAATGGATGGTCGGAATATCGAAAACTCCGTCCGGGTCACGAGCCACCCACAGATGAAAAGGGCGTGAAGTTAATCCCGTTTCTTCTCGTGCTGATGTCATATTTCACCTCCTATCAAACACCGTGCTTATCTGCCCTCGTCTTTCATAAAAATAAACTTGTAATTAAAGCTGATTAAATAAAAAAAAAACTTATTTATTAACAGTGACAGTTCAGAGCGTCTGAATTCAAAATGGCCGCCGTGAACAATGTCTGTTTTGTTCTATTTCGATTCATGAGTTCTCACCTTGCGCGGTTTCTGCCTGTGACGGCGTTGCATGACGCAGCAGAGGCCCCTGGTGATGTCACATTCGCTTGACGTGGCGCAGTCCTCATTGTATTGCTTGCGGCCGGCAGTCGGGAGGCGACACACGTGCATTTCGCCTATGAAACAATATTTACTCCAGTCAGCACAACTTGAAGGTCGTGCTCAAGTACTGTATGTAGTTTACGCGAGTAGACTACATACAGTACATTTAAATAAAACGCTTTAACGGTTTAAAACGTGATATATATTAAACTTTTTTTTTACTTCGATTCGACGTTTCGGACAGTGTGCAGCAGCCGCGGTCACGGGGAGCATTCTCGTTTGTCGTGTTTTAAACCGTTTAAGTGGTTTCTTTAATCATGTTCAAGTTATTATGGATAATAGGACATATTTTAAGGGTACAAGGTTATAACTATATTTATATTCTTGTGTGTGGCTGTCTGTCAACGTGCTATATTAAAAACCGAGATAATATATCTAATAATAATATATTTAATTTTCCTGAATTGAATTAATAATAATAACGTTTTGGTCGTATACTTTTAATTTTAGCTATGAACTCTTACGAACCTGGTACAACTTCCTCGCAAACTAAACCCGCGTCGCATTGATTCTCTCTATTGCAGATCTCGCCAAGTTTTCTTCCGGAAAATGCAGGAAGACATCGACCGCCATCCTCTGTTGACAAAACAATTAAATAAAAAATAATCCCATTTATTGTAAGTGAAACCCACGCTTAAACTTATACGCGTACCGACAATGCGTCATATTGAGCCGAAGAGGTTATATTGATAAAAAACGGTTTGAAACGCGAAATATAATAGTTAAAAGTGTATTTATTACTTTTTTCAAAAAACTACAGATTTGGGAGATTTTGATTTGAGGTTATTTACCATTGTTTTGCACGAAATTAAAGTAAAGCATGCATACAAGGTCAATATATTTGTTAACTTCTTAATTAAACTTTATAAAATACCTATAATAGTTTATAAATATTAATGAATGTTATTAAAAAATATATTAAACGGTTTATTTATTTGGGTCGAAATAAGGCATGGAAATTAAGCACTTTCCCGTTGCAGATTGATCTGAAATTTGGTACACGCATTTAAATTAGACGACTATTCAATATAATAATTCGATAACATTATAAATCCAAGATGGCCGCCGATACAAAATGGCGGATTACATGTTTCCTTAATCCCCTCAATATGGGTATCAAATGAAAGGGCTACACTAGTAAAAAACGATGGTTGTGTCAAAATTAGATTTTTCTGTAGTTTTCAGTGCACAAAAAAATAAAACCGTGTAACTTAAAAGTTTTTTTACCGATTTTAATACTATATATATAAAATAAAAGAATATTAGCAGGTCTGCTTGTTTAGGTATCAAAAAAAATATATTTAACCGGAAGAAATGGTAAGCATGTAATTGATTTTTGAAGTAATCATTATAGTAAATAGATTTTTGGTATAGTTTCGGAAAAATTTTGTCAGGGCCGAGACTCGAACTCACGACCATAATGTAAATGCCAGTGTTATGCTACTTACAATCTTAAATATCTTTTTGATTTATATACGGATTCGTGTGCACTAACATGAAAAATAACGATTAAAACTTGACTAGAATTATTTCTAGGTCAGCTTAGCGTAAGCAACATTTATTTAGAACGCGGACCTTGTACAATTACAAATATTTACATATATAAGTAATAGCTGTGCCCGCGAATTCGTCCGCGTGAAATAGTTATTTTGGATATCAAAATTGATTTTTGCAAACAAAACATGTTATGACATGACTTCTGTAAATTTGAATATTAAGTGAATATCGGTGGTAGGAATATCGGAATTCTTTCCAGGTCACGAACTACCATCCACAGATAAAAAAGGCGTGAAGTTCAATCACATTTCGATTTCAGTCTGTGGACTTCCGAATATCCAAACCTATTAACCTAGAACCTAGAATTTCACCTATCATCAAGAAGAGAAACCATGCTTAACCTCCTCTATCATTAGAAAAAAAAGGCTAGCCACTTAAGTTAATCGTTTAGTGAAAATGCCCCAATAGAACACGGAACTGCTATGTGGAAAATCTCCTTTAATCAAATTACATCACCCACTTTTAATATTTCAAA